TTCAATGAATTTTTGTTGTTTTTTTTCTCATTTCTTTTAATGAGATGTTCTTTTTCTCATGGTTTTGTAGAAATCCTTTAAAGAAAATTAGCATTTTGCCTAATATAATTCCTGTTTTAACTCTTGTTCTTCAGTTGTATTTTGATACTTAAGGAGAAGAAATTTTAAATGTTTACATAGTGAATTTTGGGGKCCTTTTTGGTATAATTTATACCTTCCAGATTTTGCTCCATATTTGGACAGGTCTTTCCAGCTCAAAGATTATAAAAAAGATTCTTTTATATTTTCTCTGAATACTACTAAAGCCAAGCTCTTTAAAATATTCCTTGTTCCTTTTTAAAAAGTATGGAAGGTTTGCTTTTTTAATTGTTTTTGTTTTTTGTTTGTTTTTGGCATCTTTGTGGTTCTAGTTTATAGATTTTTTTTTTTTAAGGGCAGCTTAGCAGTGTTATTTAGAAGCTTCGTGAGTACCTTGATACATAACTTATCTAATCTGAGAATTTGTATCAATTTGGCTAACTGTGATTTCTGAGAAGTTCTTTGCTCATTAGAATTATTCTATTCTAATTTGTTTAAACCTGTTTCACCATATTTTCCAGAGCAAAGCTCATCTTTTTGATAACATATGCAGAAGCAAAATAGAAATTTACTTACCTATTTTTGCTTTGATTCTACTTTCTGCTCAAATTTTTATTTGCTTTGGGGTCTTCATGGACATGTCTGTATCATGTTTTAGGTCTCAAGAATAAAAAAATCATTGACTCTTAACCACAGCCAAACTTATTTCCCTTTACTTAGCTTTCTCAAAAATGTTTAATAAGCAGTGACTATATACTTACTTAGCCCTATTATAAGAAGACTGAAACAAAATTTAAGATATGTTCCTTACATTTAATGGGAAAAGGCAAGGGTGTGCATAATAATAATGCTAGGTATAGCTCAAGAATTTTGTTCAAAATGCTTTTGTTTGCAAGCATACTTGGATTGTGCTTGAGTAAAATGTCCAGAAGTTTGAAAAAACTTTTTCTTATCAGCAGTTCATTTTTATAAGATGCAGTGGTTAATAGGATTCTCAGAACTGGACATATACAAGAAGACTAGGACTTATTTATTATAAGGTCCAAGAGTTCTGAAGTGTCAGTAATGACATGTTTTTCCAACCACTTGTGACAGGTGAAATATATTTTTATTGAGTTCTGGTAGCTTTCTAATAATGCTCTTTCTTAAAGGAAACAAGACTCATTTAGTCAAATAGCATATTGTTTATTTGCCCCTCCAGTCAGTTTTTAGTATTTCCCTTTGTTCTTTTTAGTTTCATTAGTTAAGTTCAAGTTGTAAGGCGTAGCTCTTGAAAGCTACTGACTTTCAGGTGAACTAGATGTCCCAAGTTTTTCACAGTCTTTCAGAAGTTTAAAAACTATAAGTTAGGAGGCTGGGGTTGTAGCTCAGTGGTAGATTGCTTACCTAGCATGTGTGAAGCACTGGTTCAACCCTAAGCACCAAATAAATAAATAAAATTATTGTGTCCATCCACAACTAAAAAATTTTTTTAAATTTTTTAAACTACATATTAGTAATTATGGACCTATACTTACTTTCTTGAGAAAARTAAAATGATTGAACACAAATATATTTCAGAAATTGGATTTCCATATTAATATGACTATAGCTGTAATTTCACTTTTCTCTGAGAATTTATTTTCCAGTGAGATTCTTTTTACCATAAAATAATATGTGAGATTGATGTGAAAAATATTTAGGTATATGTGAGTTTGCTTATGGCACAATTCTTCTCTCCTATTTGATTTCCTCTTTTACTCTGACCATTAGTCCTTTCCACATTCCTATCTATCTTCACCCAAAAGGAGGTGAGTAGTAGGTAGATGCATATAGAAAGAAAGGGAAGAGATRTCTGTGACAGTGATCATTTCTTTCCTGAAGTGTTGAATACTATCAATGTCAAAATAGTGACCATGTGATGGTCATATAACATGGGATTATATAGAAAATATGTTAACATGGTGCCTGAAAGTAGCAGGCCAGTCTTCAACCATTTCCTGGAGAAACAAATACTCTTTTTTTTTATTATTTCTTTCATACATGACAATAGTGGAATACATTACATTCGTAATTATCCATTCACAGCACAATTTTTCATAACTCTGTATATAAAGTATGTTGGGCTGGTGATATAGCTCAGTTGGTAGAGTGTTTGCCTCATATAAAGTATGTTCACGCCAAATTATGCCTAAATTGTGGTAGAAAGGTGTATTAAAAATTATAATGCAAAAAAAAAAATCAACAAGTGCTCTTTATTGCACTTCCTTAGAGCAAAAGAGTGAAAGTCAGAGGGGCGAGGTAGTATTCTGAGCCATAGGAGTAGCAGATAACTCAGAGAGATAAGTTAGAACAAAAGTAACAACACACCTATGCTAAAGAACCATGCTAAGAAGCAACAAATAAACTAGCAGCCTGTGAGAACATGTTTTATACATTTAAGTGAACAAGAATTATACATCATSTATGGGATTGAATTATTTACTACAAAATAATGTTCGAGTGGCTCTCTGTATAGTAATCGTCAAATAAGCTTCAACAGGTAAGATCTCAAGCCTTCGTATTACATACCCATATCTGCCATTTACCAGGAATGTGAACTCAAGCAAATCCTGTCCCCTACTTTTGCATCATTATCTTCATTTATAGAGTGAAGTTCTGAATAACTACCGGCTTTTGTGAATACTCACAGATACATCACATAAACATACAGAGTACATGGGGTGTAGCAGTTGGTGCACACAAACACAAACCTCAGTACATGTTAAAGTTCTTTCCTCCAATATTTTTTAAGCTTTCTTCTTATAGTACCATAATAATATCTGAGTATTGTAGCTTTTTTGTAAGAAGTAACTAATTATGTAGATTAATTTACTTGTAGTGGTGATAATCATTCTGTAATATGTGTTGGGTGTCTTCATCATCCTTTTCTTATCTGGTGTGTATTATACTTTTCACAAAATTACAAATTATATCCATCCTCATTGTGGGATTTTCTAGTCTTTAATTTTTTCTTATCTAAATCTAATAGAAACTTTTTCCTCCATTTAAATTACATTTGGCCTTTTGACATTTTTCTTTTTGTTTAATAACAGTTTTTTTCTTTATCAGTCTATTTCATATGATTTTTAAAATTTCCTTTCCTGAGGTCTTTCTTAAAATGTTGCTTAGTATATAATCCCTTCTTCTAATTAAGAAATCATTTCACCATATGTAATGGTGCAGACCTGTAATCTCAACTACTCAGGAAGCTGAGCTAAAGTGTTGCTTCAGCCCTAGATTTTGGTGGCAGCCTGGGCAACATAACAAGATACCTGTCTCTTAAAAAATAATAATAACTTATACTTACTTCACTCATGTGAATCACCTAGGAAAAAGTTTAAAAAATAATAATAACTTATACTTACTTTACTCATGTGAATCACCTAGGAAAAAGTTTAAACAAAAAGTTCATCTTTAAAAATTAGAATATTGTTATTTGAACTCTAAAGGAACCATTTTGTGTGGTGGCAGATATAATAATATGTAAAGAATTACAGGAAACTAATAAAGTTTAGTTAAAGCGGTCACCATTTGAAATTTGGATTTTTCCTCAGCACTTATAGAGATGAATGGGAAAATGTAAGAATTGTCATCTTACATGATTTTACTTAAAAATTAAATCTTAATAATTATGCTTTTCCATCTTCAACATCAGAAAGCACCTATTTGTCAGAAAAGCAAAGACTATTTATCAGCAAAGGTTCAGCGTGCTTTGTGTTCATTCTCAGTTTGAATTAAAAACTGCTTTACTTCTGCTATCTAAGGATAATGCTATTATGGTTCAGAGTGTATTTTCTGTGGATAAGATGGTGATGTTTTTTAAYAAAAACAAAACTTAAGGTTAGAGACAGGAAGGTTCATTCTCCTAATTAAATATGAGGTCTTTCAAAGTCCAATTACTCTAAATTGACTTTTTTCTTTCTCTAAATGAACTGGTTTTCTTTCTTTCTATCAATCTATTTATTTATTTTTGACATTGCTAAGGCTCAAACCCAGAGTCTTGTGCATGCTAAAGTCAGGTACTCCATTACTGAGATACATTCCCAGCCTGAATTTTCAAATTAGAAAATTAATAACTTTAGGATTCTGGAATTTTCAGAATGATATTTATCATTTTTTGAAATSTTAACATATGTGATGGTTACATTCTTATTCTTTTTGTATGCTTAATCATTGAATAAGAAATAAACAGTAGCATTCAGAGTTAGAGCCTTGACTAGAATGTCATTAGGAAACCCTGTTAGTGGGTAGGAGCATAACATGGTTTTTAGTAGTCATGTTTTTTTCAGGGGTAGTCATAAAAATGAGTTTTTTATGACTATAGGATAGGAATGGAGGCCAACGTTTATTATACTGCCTGGTATATTTACTTTAAAATTCAGATATTTCTACGGATAGAAATATTAAAATAGGTTTCTGCTAGGAGCCACAGCAAAAGTATTATGATACATGGAACCTTTGTTTTAGGTGACTGCCMGCTAGCCAATGAGATGATATGATTATGTTAAGCTTTACATTCATATGAAAATTGGACTCCTGCTGTTCACCTTGGCCTGTTACGGAACTCAGGTTACTCATGTCACTCATGTAATGGGAGAGTTCCCATTGGTTGGAGAAGGATAGTAGGAGGGAACTTCCGGGGGAGGTCCGGGYGCCCGGTTCCGGTGACACACGTGGGTCGACTGGCTTGCTAGCAGGGCACACTGGACGCTGGCGGCTTTTTTAAATAAAGCTTTGTTTCCTGTTTCTGTGCCCAGCCGGGTTGCGGCAGGTTTCAGTTAATCAAACCTCCAAGTATTATCTTTTAAAACTATGAAAAATAAATAAATGAAGAAGTAAACTATGGTATGGAGCAAATGAAATAAAAGTACCATTACCTTAATAAACTGTTGTCTTCTCAGGCTCATGAGAGGCTTGAAGATTCAAAACTAGAAGCTGTCAGTGATAATAACTTGGAATTAGTTAATGAAATTCTTGAAGATATCACCCCCCTAATAAATGTGGATGAAAATGTGGCAGAACTGGTTGGTATACTCAAAGAGCCTCACTTCCAGGTAACCTTTCCCTACAGCTCTTCTCCCCAAGTTCCCTATGTTCCTGAAGTTCCTTAGTAGTTCATTTCCAGTTTTAGGTGATTTTTTTTTCTTTGGAGAATTACTTGAGGCCGTTTTTTATAAGTATATAAATTCCAACTTAGATATTTTAATATTCTGATATACYGAAAATACATAAATACACAGATATATCTGTGCCTACTGTATAAATTTACAGAAATACATCACCATGGATTTTCCTTTGTGCAGTTAAAGAAAACAACATCCCTTTTCTAAGATCAGGTATCATGCTAGCAAAATTTTCCTCACCATGAGAATGTAATTTTTTTCTTCTTTACTGCCACTTTGTTTCCCATTACTCTTTGGGGTCAATGATGAACATTTTTTAGTATTGCTTCTCAAGACTCGGGTGCGGTTGATGATATGAAACAAAGGAGAGCTAAGGGTAGAAACTATTAACAAACATACTTATTCCACAGAGAAATAAGTACAGTTTAAAGTTTGGTCAGTAAATGAGTTAATCATTTTCACCAAGAAGAATCTCCTTCATCAAATGATAAAAAGATTTCTTTTAAAAAACCTGAATTAATCAGGATAGTGTGATATTGGGGAGTGTTAGGAAAATAGATGAATTGAAGAGAATGAAAACCCCAGAAATACATTCAGTCATATAGGGTAACATGATTTATGACAGAGACATTACTTTTTAGTGAAGAAAGGGTAACTAAGATGGAAGAATGGCACACGTTTTCCTTTGCAAATTCCATTGCAAATTTCACGTTTTCCATTGCAAAATCAAATAGTAACACCCCTTTGCTTTTTCTCAAAGTCTTTATGTGACTCTACAATAAATATGAAGATAACAGTGGGATGGGTCCTACATCAATCAGCACCTTTGGTACAAAAGCTGCAGACACACAGCAGGCACACGTTTTATGCAGGGACTAGTTGATTGTGTCCTTATAAGGAATGCTAAGGTATTTAGGTTTTATCCTGGAGACAGACAGAATCCTAGTGGAGAGAAGGGTATTGTACATATGAGTTTCCAACCTAAATCTGTGTGTGACTTCTGTCTGTCAACCCCTTTTCCTCTTATGATGTTAACCTACTGAAGAGTCCAAGCCACTGTCATGTAGAGTGTGGCACTTCCAGGATTTGTCTGGCTGCTGCCCTGCTGGGTTATTCAGTTATCAGTTCTATTTCCTATTACCAGAAGTTCTAGCTAAAAGGTTTATGATTCAAATCCATAATTTAGAACTACAGTTCATCTTAAGTGATTTGCAACATGAATTAGACTGTCAGAAGAAGTAGAATACCTGATTGCCACCCCCCCCCACATTGTTGATTTGGTTCCTGAGTAAAGATGACAGTCTATTGTTTTCTATAAAATCTCCCCATGAAGTAATCTAGTCTGTTATTATTCTGACGTTATATAAATGCTAGTTCCTATCAACCATTTACCTTCTAGAGAACACAAATTAATAATCTTTGCCTAGATCAATATTTTCATTAGTGGTTACAATATGACTCTTTTTTYCAAATTCTTGTTCTATTTTTATTAGCTGTGTTCTTTGATAAATGTAGAGCTTCTCATCAGAGGGGCTATTACCCTATAATGGATTTCCTCCTGGAAAAGCAGAGAAATGCTAGATCCTTCTCTTTACCTATTTTCAAAGCAAAGAGTTGTTTAAAATAGCATTTTCTTATGATAACAACTTAGTTTCATATGATAGCAACTTAGTTTTTTAGTCTTTTGTGTTTTAAATAACATTGTRTACTTATTCAGTGTTTCAAGTATAATTACTCTTTGATTTTCAAATTGTCAAGACTTTAGCCATGTGGACAGATTTTTAGTAYATTAATCTGAAGCATATGAGAGTTCTGAACTAAAATATAGGAAATTAGGAGTGTGTAAGAAGTGGTTCAAGTAACAGGAATGAAAAATACTGCCTGAGAATACAGGGTGGACAGCCAAGCAGCCCAGCCTAGAGTTTTGAATAACTTCCAGCATTTATAGGAAGAATTCTTAACATATGCATTTGGGAGTTCCTTTTGAATTTTTTTTTCTCCAGTTTCTTACAAATGATTTCATGAAATGACTAGGAATTACCAATTAAGCCAATATCCAGATTGGTTTTTTTTTTTTTTTGTGAACTTGGTGTTATTTGTTCCCCTCTTCTATTTTGATTTATTGTTTTGAATTTGTAGTCTGTTCACTCAAAATTTTTTTTAAATTTAGCATTATGATGAATATGTGCAACTGTAGTAAAACTTATTCCTTTAGGGTAAGGATTGACAAACATTTTAAATATATAAATATGTAAGAAACTCCTAGAATGCTATATCAAAATCATCCATGATAATAACACAGAGAGGGAATATAATTTTAAAATGCAGTATATGGAGAATCTTTACTAACTCATTTTTCCCTCAAAAATGTCTTTTATAGATTAAACCTTTATTAGTAGCAAAATTTTCTATCTCTGATATAAGATGCAGATATTTATCTATTTTCTAMTTCACATCTTTTTTAATACATTCCATAGGTATAGAAAATATATCAAGTTATTAGCAACATAAGTGTAAATATTAGGGTCCTTGTCATTTGGGTTTTTATAATACCTAATAAAATAAGAATTAATGGTAAATACTAAATTATTTTGATGACCTAGGTTTGATTTCCAGTGAGCATATCATTTTAAAAACATGTGACTGAATTCTTTCAATCTCTTCAAATCTAAGACAAGAATATAATACTATTTGATGATGAAAATATTTAAAGCTATTTTATATAATTCTATTTTATATATTTAAAGCTATTTTTATATTTCTTTAAAAATATTCTATATATATTTGATTCAATTCATGTTTGGGAATTTAATAATGTACGCCTGGGAAATTTTTAGTACACCACTGGGCTAATGAACTAACAAATTATTTTTAGTAACTTATTCCATCAGTAGCTAATAACCACAGGCTGTGTTCACTTCTTACAGTCACTCTTGGAAGCCCATGATATTGTGGCATCAAAGTGTTATGATTCACCTCCGTCAAGCCCAGAAATGAATAATTCTTCTCTCAATAATCAGTTATTACCAGTAGATGCCATTCGTATTCTTGGAATTCACAAAAGAGCTGGAGAGCCATTGGTAAGTAGATAAATCAGTGCCTTCTTAAATCTTAAATGTAAACAAATTGTGACTCAGTCACTACTTTTATCTGTTTTTTTTTCCTTTTTCTTAACATAATCTGAAAACTTTTTGTCAGTCTTTTTTACCCACATATAAACACACAGCTGACAGTCTCTCAAATTGATTGAGCATATAAAACTAAAAAGAAAAGTTTAACTTAGATGTTAGAAGTATGCCAGTAGGTATTAAAGAATTCAAAAGAGAACTACTTCAATTCTTTCTGTCTTTAAAAAAATAATGAACTCAGGTTGCTTACTAATGATAGTATTAAAACATGGTATAAGGTTGGTTATTAAAAATTGAAGCCATTTTTCAAATACCTGTAAGTAGTGAAGTTCACTGTTTCTGCTGTTGTGGATCCTAAGAATAGTGAAATGAAAAAAAGGAAAAGCCAAGAATGAGAATGCACRAATACCCTTTCATATTTCCTTGACCTTCCTTTTATCCTGTGGAATACAGCCTAGATATTAGTATTTGTTTCATTTTTAGGGTTAACTTTACCAAGAAAGTTCTTTTTGATGGGTGCTGTATATTCTTACAATTGCATCTAGCTGAATGGGATTAAAATATTAAGACAGGATTGATCATGGGAAAAGTAAGAACAACTTATATAGCTTTGAAATTATTTCTTATATTCATGAATATTTACCTATTTCTTATTAATAAAATAAAATAAATGGTTATTCTATTTCTTGTTTCTTCTAGGGTGTAACATTCAGGGTTGAAAATAATGATCTGGTAATTGCCCGAATCCTTCATGGAGGAATGATAGATCGACAAGGTCTGCTTCATGTGGGAGATATCATCAAAGAAGTCAATGGCCATGAGGTTGGAAACAACCCAAAGGAATTACAGGAATTACTGAAAAATATTAGTGGAAGTGTCACCCTAAAAATTTTACCAAGTTATAGAGATACCATTACTCCTCAACAGGTTAGTAATAAAAGTTTGGTAATGTTAAGAATACCTAATAACCCTGTTAGATATAACCCACCAGTTGCTACCATTTTTGCAAAAGGAAAGAATTGCTTTAATTGTTCTGAATTGACTTATTTTGTCATGGGTGAATTAATGAATTTTTTAAAAACACTATCTTGCTATTATAAAGGAAATAGAAAGTACATTTTTTGTGAACACTATGAACCTCTGTCCTTACATCTAGGTATCAGAAAAACCATAAATCCATTTAAATATTAATGTACAAACATTTTTGACATGTATTCCAGGCTTTGTATTAAGGCCTTTGAGAGGACATTGTGTATATCACTTCCAGATTAGTGTTCATGTGATAGGCTGAATAAAGAATGAAGCCAAAAAGGAGGATGGATACAGAAGATCTTGGACGCTTGGTTTGCAGACATTTGATCTGTATTTTAGGTAAAATAGATATTTGAATAAGGGAATATTTTAACAATCAAGACCAACTAAGTTAACAAGTGGCTACTGTAGTTATTGATGGAGATGATAAAAATGTATGATGAAATTATAAAGAAAGAAAAAGAAAGGAATTGCACAAAAATAGTTGAAAATTATAGTAGTATTAGAATGGAAAAGAGGATTTCAAACTTAGAAAACAGAAATAGGAAATATTCATCATTTTTTAGATTGATACCTCTAATGTTGAGTTTTATTCCAGAAATTTATTATTTCATGTAGGAATGAAATTTTACATTTTCTTGCATAAAATACTGCCAAGGTATCTTCCTTCATATTGTTAATACTAGTGCACAGGAACTTTGTTTTTATCTTCCATATAATTCTTCAAAATAATATTTGTTGAATGCCTATTTTAAACTGTTCTCTGGAAAATAGGGTGGACTATTTAGTTTTGAGTTCTACCAAATAAATGGAGCTTCTGAAAATAATAGGTTTATAATGAACTTTGATTGAAATGAAAGTGGAGACCTTAGTTTTAAAAAAAGGGAATTGTAAAAATAAAATGCATTAGTACTTAGACATCTCATGTTACTGTTACTTTTCCATTTGTGACAACATGAGACCTGTCTTGCACCTCAATAGATTAGAAGAGTAAAATCTAAGTTTTGCTATTTTTTGGTTATTTTATATGCATTGTGATAGGAAGATCCCTTCAAACCCCTTTCCCCCAATGGTCTTAGCTTCAGAATTTCTACAGTTCACCATGGCTACAATGGACTTTACAGGCAAAATAAATTTTTACGATATTAAGTTTCTATGTAGATTCTGTATCTTTTTTTAAAATTTTTTTATTTGTTCTAATTAGTTATACATGACAGTAGAATGTACTTTGACACATCATACATAAATGGAGTATAACTTCTCATTCTTTTGGTGGTACATGATGTTATAAAGATTGTGTAATCATATATGCACTTAGGGTAATAATGTCTGATTCATTCAACTATCATCACTCCTCCCAAAACCCCTCCCCTCCCTTCACTCCTCTCTAATAAAAAGTACTTCTGTTCTTCCCTAGTACCCCCCACCTTTATTGTGAATTAGCATCCAAATATCAGAGAAAACATTCAGCCCTTTGGTTCTTTGGGATTAGCTTATTTTGCTTAGCATGATGTTCTCCAGTTCCATCCATTTACCTGAAAATGCCATAATTTCATCCTTCTTTAAGGTTGAGTAAGTTTCCATTATGTATATATACTACAGGTTCTTTATCCATTCATCTGTTGAAGGGCACCTAGGTTTGTTCCATAGTTTACTATTGTGAATTGAGCTGCTATAAACATTGATGTGGCTGTGTCACTGTAGTATGCTGATTTTAAGTCCTTTGGGTATAAAACAAGGAATGGGATAACTGGGTCAAATGGTGGTTCCATACAAGGTTGTACTGCTTTCCATAGTGGTTTCACCAATTTGCAGTCCCACCAGCAATGTATGAGTATACCTTTTACCCCACATCCTTGCCAACATTTGTAGTTGCTTTTATTCTTGATGATTGCCATTGTGGCTGGAGTGAGATGGAATCTCAATGTAGTTTTGATTTGCATAGATTCTGTATTGTGTACACTGAATAGAATGAAATGTGTAGATATTTAGTCTTAAGTATATTTTTCTATCCCATACCTTCTGAAACTCTGGCTTTCACTTAGCCTTTAGAGCTGGGGGAGGGGATTAAAATGGGGGAGAAGAGGTCCTCCAAGCTTGTGAAGCAGACTCAGGCCTATCCGACTGTAAAAATGTAAAGATTATAACCTGGAGGATCCCAAAGGAGGACTACAGATGTCCAAAGGGGGACTTTTGAAAAAACAAACAGAGGAGYTATTACTCATTACATTGGAATAATAGACATAAGTCAGGATTGCCCTGGGCAACCCAGGAACACCCTGCTARGAGAAACTATGAGAAAGGAAGGGCATTTAGCCTCCTCAACTCTGTGTAGTAGCTTTATCATATAGTTCAATAAATTTCACGTCTCTGGTTTTGTTTTCTGCAGATTCAGTTACCTACAGTCAACAAAAGTCTTAAAATGTTGGTTGGAAAATTGCTAAATAAAGAACTCATAAGTTTTAGATTGCACACTATTCTGATTAGTATGATGAAATATTGCACTGTCCTATTCTGTTCCAACCAGAGGATGAATAATTCCTTCGTCTAGTGCACCTATGCTGTGTACGCTACCTCTCACCATTCACTTAGTGGCTGAATCTATTACCTGATCACCAGTTGTGGTATCACAAAGCTTGTGTTTCTGCAACCCGTTTTATTTAATAACAACCCCAAAGCACAAGAAAAGTAATGCTGGCAATTCAGATATGCCACTTCAAAAGCCATAAAGTGATTCTTTTGAGTGAAAAAGTGAAACTTTGACTTAATAAAGAAAGGAAAATAATTTGATGCTGAGATCACTAAGATATACATCAAGAACAAATCTTTAAGCTACAAAATTGTGAAGAAAGATTAGTGCAAACTTTGTGTTTTCACCTCAAACAGCAAAAATTACGGCCATGTTGCCTATGAAGTGCTTAGTTAGGATGGAAAAGGCATTGAATTATAGAGTTTGGTGCTATCAGAGATTTGAGGCATCCATTGAGAGATCTGGAATGTGTTCCCATGGGAAAGTGCAGATTTCTATGCTATGGAGTTAGTTGCAGCTCTTCCTCTGGATTTCTGTAAATGTAGATGGAAGCCAGGTGGTCTCCCTGCCATGGTGGTGTTTTTCAAAGCATGCCAGTAGATCATCTTTGTCAGAATGCTTTGGGATTACTAGCTAATAGTCCAAAATCTGTATGAGATCTCTATTTTTAAATATGAGGACTAGGGTAATCTGGACATTGTAGCCAGTCTGAAGTTCTTCACCTTACATGTAGTTTAGGTTTCTAGAGGCTGTTCATAATTCTGTTTCTTCATTAGGACCAAACTGATAGGAATTCTCTTTTATTCATTGTTTAAGATCAGCATGACCTGAATACCAAAAATATTATAGGGAAAGAAATATCAAATTTCATTTAAGAATATACATGTAAAAAATCCTAACAAAATAGTGACAAATAAAATTTAATTGTGCTTAAAGGAGATCATACTATAACCATGTCTACATTGGATATATTGTGAGTATGCTAGTAGCATAGTTTCATATCAGAAAACCCATATATGAAACTAGACACATTAACAAATTAAAACAGAATAATCTCAATAGAGTACTTGATAAAATTCAACACCTATTTTTTCTTAAAGTATTTTATTTATTTTTATTAGTGAATTGTAGTTATATATAATATTGTGCTTCATTTTGAGATAATGATATAAGCATGGAATATAATTTGTTCCAGTTCAGTTCCCCGTATTTCCCTATATCCTCCCCTGTTTCCCTTCCTCTACTCTACTGGTCYTTTATTTATTTATAGATTTTTTTCAATTAGTGCTTTATAGATATACATAAAGGTGAAATTCCCTGCTGTATATTTATATTTGTACTTAGCATAATTTGGTTAATTTCATTCCACCATTCCTTTCTTTTTCTGTCCTTCCTCCCTTCCTATCAACCCTCTGCTTCTCTGATCTCCCTTCTATTTTCATAGGGATTCCCCTACCAGCCACTTTTTCTCCCTTAGTTTGGGCTAGATTCTATATATAAAAGAAAACATTCARCCCTTTTCTTTTCTGTATGTGGCTTATTTCTCTTAGCATGTTGTTTTCCAATTCCAGCCATTTGCCAGCAAATGCCATAAGTCATTCTTCTTTATAGCTGAGTAAATCATGCATATATACCATATTTTCTTTATTCTTTTTTTGATGGGCACTTGGGTTGATCTCATAATTTGACTGTTGTCAGTTGCACTGCTATAACATTGATATGACTATATCACTCTAGTATGCTGATTTTAGTTCTTTTGGCTAAATGCCAAGGAGTGGCAAAGCTGAGTCATATGGTGGTTACATTCCTTTTTTTTTTTTTTTTTTTTTGAGGAATATCTTTACTGCTTTCCAGAGTGTTGTACTAATTTGCAGTCCCACCAATAATGTATAAGTGTACCTTTTCCCCCAACATCCTCGCCAACATTTGTTGTTGCTTGTATTCTTGATAGTTTTCAATTGACTGGAGTGATATGAAATCTCGATGTACTTTTGATTGGAATGTTGCTAGGAATGTTAAACATTTTTTGATATATTTTTTAGTCATTTGTATTTCTTCTTTTGAGAAGTGTCTGTTTAGTTCTTTTGTTCATTTATCTATTGGAGATAAATTTTTTGAGTTCTTTAAGTATTATGGATATTAATTCCCTGTCAAAGGAGCAGCTGGCAAAAATCTTTCATTCTGCAGGCTCTATCTTCACACTCTTAATTGTTTCCTTTGCTGTGCAGAAGCTTTTAAATTTGATTCCATCCCATTTATAGATGCTTGGTTTTATTTCTTACACTTTAGTAGTCTTGTTAGGKAAGTCAGTGCCTGCACCTATATGATGGAGTATTATGCCTGTATATTTTCTTTTCTTTTTTTC